CTTATTTGAAACCAATACAGGGCAGTTACAGGCACTGGATGGCTGCATTCTTCACTTATAAAGGAAGAAATATATCTATTAAGGACTGAAATACATGTGGAAAGGCCTGTAGCTTTGCAGTCTGAGTTTATGTAAACAGGAGAGTATTCTCTTACCTGTTCCATGGGGCCTGAAGGGAAGAGTCAGTTATGTTGGGTGACAAGCATGGCAGCTTAAATCTAAAGTGTCCCAGGAAAGCTCAGGAGTGGGAGGTTCGGTCCTTGACACAGTGATGTTCATGGGGGATGAAGTCGGGGGTGGATTGGGGTGTGGCGACTGAATCCTGAAAGTCCAACTGCACAAAAAGATTCATTTATCTGTGGATTCCTAGACTAATGGTCTGCTGGGAGGGGCTACTGAAAAGTCCTGACCAATGCTCAATTATGAATAGGTTCTTCGTAGATCTGGGGAAAATTATAATTTTCTTTATGGTTCTTCATAAGAATTTTTAAACTCATTTTCACCTCAAATGAAAATTATAGTTTTGAAAAAATATATAGAGAGATGTAAACACATAATAATTATAAGTGGCAGAGAGGGAGTATGTGTGTCTATATAGTCTTGAAGAGTGCTACATTTTCTTTTATTTATGTTTGTGTCTGTGTGAGGGGATACATGTGTATCCAGGGGTGCCTGTGGAGGCCAGAGCAGGGGTCACATTCCTTGGAGCGGAAGTTACAGGCTTTTGTGAGCTGGCTGCTGTGAGTGCTGGGATCTGAACTCTGGTCATCATGACTGAGCAACAAATACCCCTAACCTTAATGACTGAGGCTTGTCTCCAGCCCAAGATGTGCACATTTTATGGAAAATAATACATATTAATTGCAAGAGAATATAAAAAAAATCAAGGATATCTTTCTATGTATCTATGTATGCATCTATGTCTGTATTCATGCATCTATGTATGTATCTAGGCATCTATGTATGTATATATATCTAAGCATCTATGTATGTATCTAAGCATCTATGTATGTATCTAAGCATCTTTGTATGTATCTAAGCACCTATGTATGTATATATGCATCTATGTATGTATGTACCTACTTACCTACCTACCTACCTACCTACCTATCTACCTATATGAATTCCTAGGGCAGCCACCAAGAAGCAAAGAATTAGAACTGATGTCTGCTGCATAAAACCAAACCAAAGCCAAAGTCTCCTTACTGAAGTTTCACTTTCTACACTTTCAGTTACAATAAACCAGGCTCTAAAAATACCAAATGGAAATGGAAAGTTCTAGAAGTAATCCAAAAGTTTAAATACCAGATGATCCTGTTCTGAGTCCCATGATGGAACCTCTTCCCACCATACTCTGTCCTGCCTGGTTCGAATCATCCCCTTGTCGGGCAGGCCCGAGCTGTGTACTCAGCCCATCCATTAGTCATTTAGACTTTAGTTCCTGGACCAGCTGTCTCGGCATCCCCATGCTTCTGCTCAGGTTACCTGTATTTGACTTCATAGTGACCACCAGGCACAAACTTGGGACATTAGCAGTTCAGCTAGCCAAGAGGAAATAGTAAATAGCTTTCTTTAAGTGAAAAGGTCGAAGTTCTTCCCTTAACAAGGAAACTGTTAAAAAATGTACGTTATGTGCTGGAGAGAGGCTGGGTGGTGAGGAGTACTTGCCGTTCTTCTAGGTGGCTCACAACCACCTGAACTCCAGCTCCAGGGATCCAATGCTCTTTTCTGACCTCTGAGGATACCTACATACACTTGTGTATACACACACACACACACACACACACACACACACACACACACACACGAAGGATCTTTAAAAAGTACACTAAGATTGCTGGAATCTGAGTTAAGGATGAATTCTCTTCAGTTGTGACATTGATGAGGAAAAGTGATGACCTGTGCTGTGTTTGCAGCCTCGGTGACTGGACCACACTTTGTCAAGGTGGGAAAGGTACTAAGTTTTAGGGCTCAGTACTTTTGGGGGTTTTCAGCATTCTCTAGGGGTCTGGAATGCTCCCTGTTGGTGAAGGTAGACTATTTCACTCCCTCCAAATGTGGGTGAAATGCAAGAGCAGAGGAATAAATAATAGATAAACACACACAATTGCACACCCAAACCTAACATATATATGTATATAATTAATGGACTAAAACACTCCAGTAAAAAGGCAGAGATTATGAGGTAGAAGGAAGCCACCACTGTCTTTCTTCTTTTATTCTCAGATACAGATCATTTCTATGGACACCAAAATGTGTGTGGATTTTTTCCCTACCAGCAATCATGTTTTGAGGGAAATTCTTCAGTGAGCATCAGCTCAGTATCCTGTGATTCAGTTCAGTCCTAACACTACCAGAGATAGTACCAGATCCTGAAGGGTGAGGATTCAGTCCCACAAGACTCTCCTGCTTCCCAATAGGTTCTCACTGTGAAAATAAAATTTACAGTGGGAATAACGTTGAAAGAGCTTTTCTGATGGTGCCTGGGACCATTAGCGCCCAACTGATGCAAGGTTTCAGTTGTTGCCTAGGAATGGGAAGTTGTATTGCCTCTAGATTTTGACTGCAGGCAACAGGAATCTGCAGGAATGACTTGTCTGGACGGTCAGGGTGCATGTCAGTGTCCTCAGAGCCTCCTTTTTATGGTCACTTTGGTGTAGACACTATTTTCTTCCTCTTCTATTGCTCACACAGCCTGTTCCTTCTCAGCATTCAACCCCGTAAGTTCCCACTTTTCTGCCTACTTTGGGGGACTGACTCTTTCGAGCACTCCATGATCCTCAATCTCACCCGCCAACTCCAGCGAAGTCATTTTACTTCAGACAGTTTCTGACTTTGGGTTGACTGACATCACCCACACTTCGGATCAGTTAGCTACAAATTGGGTTTTCTATCAACGCCTCCTGTGAGGTCAGCTCACAGAACTTGGGAAGCACTTATGTACACGTGTTGATTTCTTACAAAGGATTTTATAAAACATTCAGATAAATACCCAGAGGGAGAGCTGTACAGAGCAAGGCATGTGGGAAGGTGTATAGGGTTTTCGTCCCCTTTCCAGGGCCCCAACCCTCCAGGACCTCTGTATTCAGCTGTCTAGACACCCTCCATACCTGACACTTTTGAATGTGTATGGAAGTTTTATTACATAGACATGGCTGATTGTATCACTGACCTTTGATGATGTTTTTAGTCTATAACCCTTCTCTGTACCTGACAAGTTAGGATGGGAAATGTGAGTCTGAAGCCAGGGCTCTGATCACGTTTGGTTT